AGGATAACGCATGTGACTAAACATGAAGACTTAAAGAATTAGGAAATATTATTTGACAAAATAAGGATGACAATCATTTAACACATGGTAGGTTCTATTATCTCAAGTAAAATGAATGGTAAAGAATTCAAGGGTTTTATTAACAAGTTTTATTTCCCATCCCTTTAACAGTGATGCTGCAGACAGTCAAAAAAAAAAATAAATTAAAAATAGTACACACACCCCACCACACCTAGGGAAACAAAAATTCTAACAAAACCAGCTCAGCAGTTTTGCAGGGCGAAACCCTTTTTGAAATACAGAAAAAACATCAGACATCCATCCAAAAAACCTAGCACACCAAAAAAAAAAATACCCAACCAACCTCAGAACATATGCTTCTCTTTCTCTAGAAAGAAAAGCCTGATCAGATATGGACAAAAAAAAAAAAAAAAAAAAAAAAAAAGCTAGCATTGTCCAATTTCATGATATATTCATTAAATTATTGCAATGCTTCGCATAAAAACTTGTGCCACTTTGCTATATCCATATGCAAATATAAATTCTACATGGAAAGCAAGTTTCTGTATTTATAGAGGCAGGCCATATAGCTCTTAAGCATACATTCACACACAAAGTCTGTTTCCACATCATAAAGCTGCCTGCTCAGCAGGTAACTTCTGCTGCTAACAACTGTTTTGTATTTAATTAACACGCACAGTATTGTGCTAAGGATAAGATTCTTCACATCCATCCTTTGCATTCCCTCTTTCTTATGCTCCCTTGCTTTAGATTTCGTTTTTCTCAACTCTGCCTTCCCAGAGATCTCTGACAACACAAGCTTGAGAAATACTATGCTTTAAGTTCTTTATTTCCATTGCCAACCCATGCGAATGGACACATGCTATAAAAAGAACAACCATGAGATTTTCTTCAAAGACCCATAAATTTGTCCACATAACGTCTATTTGTAGAGCAGGCAATGCTTGTATTTTGGGTTCTACTTTGGATAAGTAAACAAGAAGAAATTCTGAGACATTCTCACAGAAGTCTACTCTCCCTTTCCTTTTCACTGCATTTTCCCCTTTGATATTCACGCAAACAAGCTATCCTTAACTCTCAGGCAGGCAACAGCTCTGACCAAATCTGTTTCATGCAAGCAGATGCACTCTCCTTCCCCCGCTGCTCTTACATTTACGTCTCCGAGGCTGCCACCATACAAACAAAAAACCTGAAGCACGCAGCATTCACCCATCCAGCAAATACGTCATTCCGTAACTGTAAAAGTAGACAACTATAAATGGTGGACCTAAGCATAGAAACTGTAATTCACCATGGACACATGTCTAGCTCATTACAAGTTACCAGCAGGCAGAGCTTCCATATTGCATTAAATGGAGGGGAAAGAACTCAGTTTGACCCGCCCAGGTCAATGCAAATAAATGAAACCGTTTTTACATTAGCAGTCGCTAGAAATACGAATACATGAAAAAGCTAGATTGGTAGACAAACAAAACAAAAACCTCAACTGAATAGTCACGAAAGACAGGCAGAAATGTGACGGCAAACAAAAAAAGACAATCTGCTGGCTGGCCATATAATAAAATCACTTAATTGCAGAATACTGAGACTATACAGAAAAAACCCCCAAAGATTAAAAAGCACAGGAAATCCAGTCTATTCATTGTATTGTGAACAGCTTTGTACTCTCCCCCCTGCCCTGAACCACATATACTAGATAACTTTATAAAAAAAAAAATATTTGGAATCCAAGACTTCATTTGCCAGTATTTCCAAACTTAACACTGGCTGCATTGAAGACTTTTCTCAGACTCATCTCTAATACTACAGTAAATATTTTAAACCTCTTTATATTCACTAGAGCAGTACTTCCAAACAATTAATTAATCCACTAGTTCAAGTTGGTTTGCTGAAACTTAAAATACGAAGTATGAACATTGAGACCAAGAGCATGTTGCATTTAAATCCAGCAAAGTGTTACAAAGAATGTCTTGGGTTTATAGTTTCAGAATGACCTTTCTGCTGTACTCTGGACACACCATTATAAAAAGCATACCATTACTAATAAGAGAAAATGTAACAAGAAAGAAAAAGGTCTATAAACACGTGGATATAAATTAGAAGAAGGTCTTGGGTATAGCCCTATCAAGTCACTGTAATCACAGCATTTGTGCAGGAAATTCCAGTTTGGATTTCCAAAGGTTAAACAGAACCACTGAGCACTCTTCCCAACTTTCAACTTCATCAAAAAATAAAAAAAAAATTGACCAAAAAAATTGATCAAGTTCACATTTGATCAAAAGCATTAGAATGGAAACAATAAGTTGAACTCTACAGAGAACAGCAATCCTGTTTTGTTAATGGCTTCAAAAATCTGTACTTGTTTAAAACAAGAATAAATCTATCATGTTTTGAGCTCATTTGTGAAAGAAAGTGCTAGAAAAAAACAACAAAAAAAAAATCAATAAAACTGCAAAAAAAAGTTTTCACTTAGCTCATGGAAAGTATTTAAACAAAGTCATTTTTTCACATGAAAATGCTACACTTTCAGCATTCTGTAATAAACCTTTTTAAAATGTTGCTGGATTTTATTTCTTAATTCTCTAGAAGAAAAATGGCAGATTCACTCACATGTTAAATTTCAAGACTATACTCTTACAGCTAGTGACTCCAAAAAAGGTTTGCCATCTGGCTTAACTTGTAAGTTTTCATCCTAATATGCAAAAAGTTTAGCAAATTTAAATGAAACCGCCATATCAAGATATAAGCGTTGCATGAATAGGGGAAAAAGTAAATAAAATTTAGAATTTGTTATTTGTTGCACTGTGCAGCAGTCCAGACAAATCTGAAGAATGTGATATATAATTGAAGGCAGAAAGATTACTTCTTGAAAGAGTTCACTTTTTTCCCCAGTTACCTGTAAGATTGATGCTAACAGTTTTCTGCACAGTTGCATAGAGAAAAAAAATCAGTATAACATTAGGTATGGCAGAGATGTATTAAACTTCACTAAATTATTTAAGTTTCTTCAAATACCCAGGTGCTTATTACTTTGCCAATTTTTTTCCAGAAGTTGTCAGGCACTTTGTAAAAACCAGCTAATGTATTTAATTTGACACATCATTTTTGAAGGTAGAAAGCTGGTAGCAACTTAGGTTTTTTTACAATTCAAAATTCATACCTGACTCAGAGCCAAGAGAGAAACAGGTCACCAAAAAAAGGTTAATGTGTCAGAAAACATTAAAAAAAGGGAATATGATGGAACTGTTTTGCAAATTCAGCTACACATAATTGGAGACCGCAGCATTTGAGTAACACAATCACTTTTTTTAAAATTTAAATTAATTCAGATACTTTTAAAGCCTCTTTTAAAATGCTGTGCTCCAATTCATTTAAAATTACTTTTCAGTACCTTCTGAAAGATTTTCAACTTCTCTGAAGATACTAGAATCTTTACCACAATAGACTAGACATGCCTGAGAAGCCATACCACGTGGTTAGATCATGGTTAAAGATTCAGCACCACGCTACTGTGTAAGTAGTTGCCAGTCCATCTTCTCTTTCATTCCAACATGCTGGCCTTCTGCTTTGCCAGCAAAAATTTACACAGCAATGAAGAAACTCAATCAGGGAACTGACACAACTGAAAAATAACTACAAACAATCCTGTTTTTTAACCACACCAGTCTCCCAGTGCAGACCCAGACCGAAGGATGCAGACCAATCAGGTATCCTCCTCAATAGCAGTTATTTCCACTCAAATCTGTTACCTCATTAAACTCGCCATTAGAGTCAACAGCCACAGAAGTGGTGGCTGGGCTACAGCAGAAGAAATACCAGTGGATCTGCGGCTTGAGAGGCCACAAGCAGTAAAACCAGAAGTAAAAAATTTGTTCTGCTCTTTTTCCCCCCCCCCCCTTTTTTTATTCTGAGTAGCCTCTACTATTATTTAACAGTATTAGGTAGTGATTTTGGATATACTTTACCCCTCTCCCCTAAACTCATGCTTGTTCAAGTTATACTTTTTAAGCACCGAATTTAAGAGTACATGCCAGATTAGAATCTTTTGGAGTTGACTGGAAAAGGATCCACTCAGACCTGAAACAGTCTTTTCCCTTTTTACCCCGCTTAACCTGAACTTCAAAGTTGGCCCTGGTGAGTTCTTCAGAACTCAATCTGTGAAAACTAACCTTTAAAAGGAGCTAACAGGTTTGCAGGAAAGAAAAAAAACAAGGTGAAAAATAAGCACAAAATGTCAATACCAAGGGTATCAAGTGGAGGACAACATTTAATACGCTCAATACAATTGAACTGGTTAATCTTTTCTGCCAAAGAAAACAGACTTATCCTACCACATCTTTGCCTGTCTGTCCTGTTAAACTTCGGTTCTCCTCCTTGTTTCAGCCAAGCTAAAAGAAAAATTTTATGCACAGAGGGATGGCTTGACAAGAACTTAGTTGTTAAACACCTTATTGAGCAGTCAGTGGCTACACAGTTGTAGTTTAATAAGTTATCTCTTGTCGACTGACAAGGATGCTTTAAGTGAATTGTGTTTACTGTAGAAACATAGAAAATAAAAAGCAGGCTTTCTTAATTCAGCTGGATGGAAAACTGATGTGAATTCCAGCTTGTTGGCCTAGATAACTCTTTTCAAGATGATATCATACTGAGAGAGTAAAGGTAAGTTCAGGAGAACTGAAAATGGGGTGCTCTACCCACCTGGATACTGTACTTTCCAATACCCAGAGACAACCACAGTAACCAATAAATTATGCTTGCACTAATCTCTAAAGGGATTCTTATGGACACCTGTTTAACAGCTGCAGACGACTGAACTGGTCCACCAGGACCTTGAAGGGACAGAAAAATACAGAATATGCAATGACAAACGTAGTAGCATACATGTGGTCTCTAAGATACATCCTTTGCTCTAAGGTACATCCAAAGCAGACCGACCTGACCAACGCGTCAAAAATTCCTGGATCACATTTTGTACTAACCTCTTCTGCGGGTTTACAGCCATCTGGATGGTCCACTAGCACTGGTGGCAAAATCCCAATACATTGCTGTAGAGCGCCTGTGGTAGGAACCATAGAGCAACAGATTGGCCTAGGCCATTCTGACATGAACACAGAAGTACAAGAGGTCTTCCATCCACAAGGTCTTAAGGCTGCCCTAGAAGAAAAACAGAAATTCAGGTAAGTTCTCCACTCAGTTGTGGCAGAGCTTGAGGTGGAAGGGGCGGAAAGTTTTCCAGCATTTAAGACTTCAAAATCCTGTGCAAGTGAGAAGGAGCCAAAAGACTGCTTCTAAAAAAAGGCAGTGAACTGAGCCTGTGATGAAAACAACATATGCAGGGTAGAGTAGAGAGGTGGAACAAGTCATTAAAATTTTTTAGCCTTTCAGATGATATGATTTAAGTGGGAGGACTGCCTGTCTTCCCAAATAAGCAGTTATCTATTTTTGAGTTCTATATATGTCGCCCTCTATCCAATCACGAACACTTAGCACAACAAACTATGAATTGCTCTTGGTAAGGCTAGAAAACAGCCGCCTCAACGGCACACATTCATATGAGCAGCTCCCCAGATGATCATTCTTTTGGACTAAGTTTTCCCATACGTATTGTAGTTTACAGACGTAGGTTTTTTTACATTCTTTCATCTCTTGCCCACAAGTTAAGCATTAGCATTTATAATGGCCGCTTTTTTTAAAAAAAAAAAAAAAAAAAGTGTTATTATACTAACACAGACCTGATGCTTAAGAAGAAATGTTTGCTCACTTCTAAAAAGAAAAAGTGACACATGAGAAATCATGCCTGAACCTTTCAAAGTGTTATCTATTAAAATTTTAGCAGTATTGAATGAATTCCTCCAAATCTCTTCCTTTACCCAGTTAATACAGAGATGTCTGAAGGAAATTCTAAGCAGCTGAAAAGTAAACAAAATATCTTAACAGACAAGAAAGCAGATTTTTTTATTTTTAATGCAGTTGTAACATGCCTACACTTAAGCAGTATTTGCCATATATTATGAGTTTATATGTTGTATTTGCCATATTCTATATGAGCCTACTAAGTTATTCAAGTTTATTGCTCTACCCGTTTAAAGTGTTAGCTTTATGTATTGCCTGTCCAATGAAAAATTATGTACAAGGGAGAAAAAAAAAGATGCTGACACCATGGTAACATGACAGCATGGAAGAAATACATGGTGAGGAAAGCTAAGATTGGCAGTGATAGAAAAGATGTTTGTCAACTGCTTATTCTGAAACAAATTATTACTCCAGTACTGTGGCAGGTGAAGTAAGTATAATACTTGGCAGTTCCCCCTTTTTTTGCATATCAAAATAGAAAGGGAAAATGTCTCAACTCCTAATTTTGTTCTCCATTTGAGGTCAGATTACCAAAATACTGATAAAGCATACTGATAGAATAGGAATAGTAAGCAGTTTTAGATCCACAGAAGTGGCTTACAATCTGAATTTTAGAAGAACTGGCTAAGGATCTCTCAGAAATAATATAAATTTTTACCAAATCTGAACAAAATAGGGAAATTTCAAAGGGCCAGAAAAATACAGATTCATAAGATAACCCAAGACATAACCAGCAGGACACCCAACATAGATCACATGACTGTTACCTTTCTGCAAGTGTTAAATATTAAGAGATCATGACATAATTCTGAAGAGACCCAGCCAACCTTTAACAAAGCAAGTTAGTCACAGCCTTCAAGAAGATTAAACACACAGACTTCTATGATATAGCTGACTAGGCTGTACACATTGCACTGTACCATACAACCCACAAATAAAATCAGTGTTACTTATGTTAAATTAGCTTTTTTTGTATTGCTTTTCTTCAGTAAAACTCAACTGCCTTAAGAGGCAGAAAACATGATCCATTTTTACAGATGGGGAAACTAGTCCATAACTGGTTAAGCGGCAAATCTGGGAGCAAGTTTTCTTCTACCTGCTCAAGCATTTTAACTGAAGTATCTATTTATACATCTATCTGGTTAGACGAAGATCCATATTCTAGTGATTTTGCTAATTTATATATTTCCTCAAAGGATCCTAAGATGACATGCTCTCTGTTCAGTGCTGTCCAGACACTGGACAGAAATAGCTCTTATAAAACACACAAACAAAAAGCAAACAATGAGAGCAAGACCTAGAGAATGGTCCATGTTGCCATTAGTAAGCAAGGCACATCTACCAAGGGCAGATGTTCGCTTTTTTTTTTTTTTGTAGTGAACTTCCACACACTTAAAAGCTTATAATTTCCCTTGATCTTTTCTTTGGGTCACAAAAATGCCAATTCAACCATTCTTTCTGCACATACCATCTTTTCTAAATTGCCAGTCATTACCATTACCCTCCTGGGGCAAATTAACTGTGCCTACATCTTTCTTGAAGCATAATAGCCAAAACTGACTGTATTGGGTTGGGCTGAGATGGAGTTAATTTCCCTCATAGCAGCCCTCACAGTGCTGTGCTTTCTATTGGTAGCTAGAAAGGTGTTGGTGACACACCTGTGTTTTGGCTACTGCTGAGCAGTGCTCCCACAGCATCAAGGCTGTGTCTCCAACATTCCCCCACCACCACCAGTGGGCAGGGAGTGGGCAAGGTCTGGGGAGGGGACATAGCCAAGACATTTGACCCAAACAAACCAAAGGGATATTCCATACCGTATGACATTGGCTCAGATATAAAAGCTAAGGGAAAGAAGGAGGAAGGGGGGGCATTCATTTTTTATGACATTTGTCTTCCAGAGCAACTCCTATGTGTACTGAAGCTCTGCTTCCCGGAAAGAGGCAGGACACCGACTGCTAATGGGAAGTAGAGAAAAAAAACAAACAAACAAAAAAACCACTTTGCTTTCCTTTTGCTACCGTGCGTGGCTTTTGATTTTGATTTTGCTTTTATTAAACTGCCTTTATCTTGACCCATGAGGTTTTTTTCCATCTCATTTTCTCCCCGCCTGTCCTGTTGAAGAAGGGGGTTATAGAGCAGCTTGGTGGGCATGTGGCATCCAGCCAAGGTCAACCCAGCACACTGACGCAGTACTTTAACCTTACAATACAGAACAGAGCAGAAGCTTCAACTCTATGTGTCCTCCAGATTATACCACCGTTTATTCATGCCAACACATACACATACCTCTTCTTTCTGAACAATGCTGCATTGTTAACTCTCATTTTATAATCCATGGCTTGTCCTAGATTGGGGTGGGGAATGAGGTGGCAGGAACTACTTAAACAGTTGTTCTCCACCTTTTATTTTTATGTTATTTTTACACAAATATAAAGCTATTTACTTATTCTTCTAAATCATATTCTATTCTTTCAGGCCATCTTTCCAACATTCAAGATTCTTCTGAATTGCCATCCCAGCTTTCTGTACCTGCATTTATTCCCAAACACCTCTTGTCTTCAGATTTCATAACCATATGCTATTCCATTACCCAGTTCATGAACAAGAACAATAAGCTGAAACAACATAATATCCCATACAATACATTTTCCCTCGCTGAAAGTGAACTACTGAAAAATAAAATTTTGGCTACCGTTAACCTAACAATTTTACACATATCCTAAAATAGCTTTTTTTATCTAGGCCATGTTTCCTTAGCTTGCTCTGCAAGAGTTATCACATGTGGCTTTCTCCAGTCCCCACAAGCTTCCTGTTGTAGAGGAAGTCAAGATTGGCTTGATTATGCATTTCTGATCTTCACAATAAGGCGTCCAAATTTGCTTCCCTAAACTACATGTTCAAAGAGAGGACTGTCTTACCTGTAACTACATCTCTTCAGTATGCTTCTACTCTAGCTGGATATTCCATTATATCCTGTCTAAAACAAAAATTAAGATGCAGAATGCACACAGAACTTGCTGGTGATTTTCTTGTGGTTCTGACTCAAAACAAAAGCCATTTTAGCCAGAAACAGGCAAAAGAAACCAAGGTGAAGATGATGCACTGTGCCCTTCCTTTTTCTTGACGTAAATCCTAAGTAACCCAGAAAAAAGTAATAAACTATATGCACTGCTGATGTGGACAGGCAAGTGGGTTAGGAGATCTGGACACCAGTAACAGAATATGTAGATGAACAGAAACAAGAAAGCATCTGCTACAGTAGCATTAGTTATGAGTACTTAGATTAAGGCTACCAGTAGGCATTAGCTTTCAGTGCTCCCATACCATGCTGCACCGCTAGGCAATTAAACTGAAGACTACTTCTGCTTTAAACTGTGCATACAAATAGCCTAGAGACTTCCAATGAAATGTTTGGAGCTGGCATTTTGGAATTTGGAATCCAAGCAGCTTCTGTTAATAAGAAGTTCTCACATCAGTTCCAAGTGTTTCACAAGATGAAAGTTAGATGAGGATGATTCTAGGTAGAGATCTCCCTTGCCAATAATTTTTACTGTCCTGTTCTATACTCCACTACCACCAGCTAAATGTTCGGTCACCGCATGCACCTCTGCACAGTGCGTGCCTTAGCTTTTGTAAGTGGCACCTAACAACGCAGAAAGGTTTTTTTGAAAACTAACTTTACAGGGGAATCCAATACTCTGAGCTTTTATTTAAACCTAAACAAATTTTACCCAGCCACTCCAATATGCTGGCCAGATTCACAGTCACAATGTTTGTAGAGTGCAAATGTGTTTGTCTCGTATTTAAGTGTCTATACTGAACATCCTCAATATTTGCCTTGCCATTATTCAGAGAACTTCCTTCTGACACATTTAATGTTAGTAACAGCAACAATCATGCAGAGCTACTTATGCACAATGAAATATCTATTCCTAATTGTCACTCTTTATCCCACTTCACACTTTCACCTCTTCCTGAACACAATACAGAATGACTGTATGATTTCTTAGCCATGCATTATTCTTCCCAGTCTGTCCAGTCAATTTCTGTTTATTCAGTGACACACCTCCCCACACACACCAAATCATACAGCTGCCATGAGGTACGCAGCCAACTCCATTTTGTCAACTTATTTTTCTATCAGCTCAGTCCAGTGGTATGGCATTGCACATGGTCAGAAACATCAGGGTAAGGGAGAGAACAGGAAATCATGAAAAGGAGAGAAAATTTACAAACCTGCCATGAAACTCCACAGAAAACAGATTTATAACACTGAGAAAACCACACCTTCCTACCCAT